TGTGATCTCAAGCAATAGAATAAAATAGTGAGTACAATAAAAACAAGAAAAGCACTTCTAGTTTAAGGTCTTGTGAGTATTTTTTTATCAAAATTACAAAAAATGAAAATAAAAAAGGACACAAATTACATCTAAAATGTGCTCTGAAGACAGAATGTACTGATGCAGGGCATTTTTAAACAGGAATTGTGTGCATGTTTGAGGGAGGAACAATATGGCCAACAGCAGTGTCGAGATACTGGACTTACCCCAAGGTCCGTAACAGAGATGACAGACAGACAAGATGAAACTGCCAGAGTTTTCTCCATTGGAGTGCAAAAGATGACTGTCCTTAAAATGTTTAACTCTGTGTTCCCTGTCACAACAGCAGTGGCTAGGTGATGAATAAGCATGTACTCTATTCTCCCCCTCACACACGCCACAGTAAATGTGGAAGCTTGAGGGAAGAAGACTCATCGGTGAGAGAGAATGCAGCCTTCTCGCACCAACATCTGTACAGAGAAGAGGATTTTACAGGGCTGGGATGGGGTGTTAACTGTAACACAGAAATGTCTGCTTACTTGTTTCTCCTTTTACTGTGTAAGTGACCACCAACGTACAACAGAGGAAAACACAAACTAACGAGAAATGTGAGGTGGCTTCCATTTTAATGAAGAAACGCATTTCTATAGAGTCTGATGCATAAACGAATACAGTGCTACGTCTACTCCTGTGCTCTGAAGGCAGAGAGCATGGTAAGTGTCGGTGAGAAAGTGTGGGAGTCACGACAGAAAACACGGACATTGGATGGAGTCGACTGTGGGATGCTTCAGCCAGTGAGGGCTTTGGAAAGAGTGCATGTTTATATCTAAATAGAATGAGATGTCACTGCCTAAATTAATAATGCAAACTTGAAAAATAGCCCCAGGTTCCAAAGACCAATTATAAAATTCCTTTGTAAACAAATCTATATTCGCACTTTCCATGAATAATTATCATTACTAGTATTTCTCCACTAATGTTCAATTTTAAAAAAGAGAAATATACTTTCAACTGAAATTTAAATAAAACTTCTGTTCCCAGAGACGGTAGCGTCTGCAGATAAGTGTTAATAAAGACAAAGAAATGAACACTTTTCTCTATCTGCATTAAGTAAAAACAAAGTCAGTCAAGTGGGAAAATGTTATTTAACTATTTTGAACAGTCAAACATTATGGACAGATATCAGTAAGGCCAATACAGCCCTGTCTGCTAAGGAAATATCTGATCATCATAGAAATACTTTTCATCTATAGATATCATCCACTCTTCGGAAAGACAGCATTTTCCATGTTGCTGTGAGATAGGTCTGGTAAGAACATTCCTATTCAGGGGTAACCACATGAAATCTTTTTGTACTTTGCTACCTGGTGGTTTTAAAATCTTTTTCTCATCAATAGAAAACAAAGGCATCTGCAATGACCTCCATATTTCCTTCACAGGCTTCATCTTCAGAAGTAGCATTTTATTTACACATGTTTTGTACTCATGGTCAAGGCTAACTTAACGTTTGTTCATTGGCTTGTGACCAAAGTGTTCAAAGTATTATTTATTTTCAATAATAATCAAATTATTTTAAAGTTTTTAATAAAGTCCTCTTTTTATCAAGGACTATAAGCATCCCAAAAGGAGAGCTGGTGGCCATTGCGTGATTGAAGTCCTGAGTTCTGATTCTGAGAGTAGTGACAATCTACTTAGACAGCGTCTCCTCTTTAATTCATGCCCTAGCACAGGTACTGTGCCTGGATGGGTTCCAGCTGGCTCAAATGTCCCACTGAATGAAAGGGAAGCTATTTCAGGGTGAGACTGTGAATAGGGACCAATAAAACAACCTCAACAGGAGTAGAAAGTACAATACACTTCCAAACCAATGAAATCTGAAAACACAGAAATGCTTCTACACAGACAAAGAGGAAAATGCAAATCAGAACCTTCACAGAAATCCTCTTAAAAGCCTTAAATCATACTGCCAGGAGTCGATTCTAAAAAACAAAACAAAACAAAAAACCCATCTTGGGAAACACCCTTCATGAGTAAAGAGCTGGAAATTGTTTACATGTCTGAAGAGTGAAGTGAGGCCAATTCATCGAGCGGGGCCAGGTCATGCTGAGAGGCTACTGCAGGACAGCCACTGCCAAGGCTGGGTGTTGTCACAGTCTACCCGGTCCCCGCCGTGCCCCAACAACCGAGTGTGGACTCAACACACTGTACCAATTCCCAAACTTACCAACAAACCAATAACCACAACGTTCACGTGGGCCTGGACAGTAAGCAGGGTCTGTACTACCTCAGCAGCCGTTTGATTCCGTGGGCAGTACAACCAGGAACCAGGCTAAACCCCAAACCACCGGAGTGATAACAAAACAACCACCAGGTCCTCGGAAAGTGACCCAAAACGTGTCTCTCATCTAAGATTGGCAGTGATCCTAAAGGCTGCTGCACTCAGTATGTGTACTGAAGCGTCCAGTTTGTGGCCGCTTGTTAATGAGCGCCTGCGTTCTTAACTATCCCTTCGTCTGTGCACCCACAATAAACTCGCCACTCAGATTCATGCCCTGGCCAGAGCCACCACTAGCTTGCTCCTGCTTGTCACCAGAGCCCGATTACACTAACTGCTACTACCATGCTGTAGGTGCTGATGGGTTGGGCTGAGATGCGACTGATGTTAATATGAAATCTACTTGTCAGTTGTGGAGTTGTATCCTCTCACTCAGCGACCCCATGTGACAGAGCACAGCTGCCCCATAGGGCTGGCAGGTAGACCTCCAGGTAGGAGGGTAGACCCGTAGGAGGTGCTGGGGGTTTTCACCGCCAAACTGAGTGCTTAGCTGCCGACCACCAGGGCTCCACATCTGCGCTAACTAATACTTTCTATTTTATGTAAGGGCCCCGTAGAGGCTCGGCCTTGACAGATACAACGTTATAGAACAATGATAAAGGAAATGGATGAGTGGTTCTAGGTCTGTGCTAGCTGTACTTGTCCCTGCCGTCCAGTCCACTCGGGCTCCTGCTGACCCATGAGCAGAGCAGACTGTTCCGAGGGCTTCACAAGGCCGTGACCTTTGGAAGCAGGTGACCAGGCCTGTCTCTGGAGATGCCTCTGGGTGGGATGGAACTGACAGCCTTTCGGCTGGTCACTGAGTGTGTAAGCACTGTACTACCCAGGGCCCTTTACAGCGCTTAAGTCTGAAAAATACAACGTCTCCTGATAAGACCAAAAAGCATTCTGGCACCAAACAGCCACCTCAGGAAGAGTGTACACTGAAGGGGTAGGACCCCAAGCATCGTTTCCTAACGCTTTTCTACATTTTACAGGATTCCCTTACCAGGTAAAACTAATGCATTCAAAAATGTTCATTTCCTAAGGAACTCATATTATCAAGTTGTTGACATTCCAGTCTACTTCTTACTGGTTTGGCAAGTTACCAAATTTCCCAGAAGCACTCATTCAGTGACAGGCAAAGATAGAACTGGTGAAATGTGGAACGAACGAATAATGACTGAATGAATATACCTGTGTTATCTCTGCACTACCACATGACCCTTAACACAAGACTGCACAATGTGGCTAACAACAGAGATCAGGGCAGTGCGTTTCCTGGATGCATGGGTGACAAACATAGGAACCCCAAAATCTATTTTACAAGGTGGCTGTGGGTTTGGGGTACACCATCTAAAATCACACAGAAGAGAAGGGCAGGTGGAGATTTACCCTGGAAGTAGGTTTGTGCGAGATGCCCTGTCAACCACCATCTTTGGCTCCAGGGAGAAGCAGGCGCTCATAGTCCATCAGATGAATTGTCCCCACAAGTACCCCCCAGACAGCTGGAAGAGGTCCCATCGCTGCCATCTGCTGAGCATCTACCCCACCGAATGTTCCACAGGGCCCCTCTGTCCATTGTCACAAAGTCATAGAGGACTATTCACTATACCCCCAGTTTTCTAAGTGTCTCCTGGACCTGCCACATCTTGACATGAAGAAACATGATCCTTTCACATCCCCACAACCCTCATCCTCATGGAATAAACACTATCTTTGAAACCCCACCACCCTCTGAGTCACAGGTAGAATATTCCTTCTATTTGGAGCAGGAATCAATTTGTTCTCTGGACTTTTTGCAACTCTATTCAAACATACCCTAAAATTGTTTATGAATAGTACCCCATATTCTTGTATCTGCTATTGGCAAAGAATACTGAAAGTACCAGGGATTGCCAGAAGAACAAACTGATCTGTGCTGGAACAAATACAGCCAGAATGGTCCTTAGAAGCCAATATGATGAGACTTGGTCTCTCAGACTTTGGACATGTTATCAAGAGGGACCAGTCCCTGGAGAAGGACATCATGCTTGAGGGTAGAGGGTCAGCAAAAAAAAAAAAAAAAGAGGAAGACCCCCCCCAATAAGATACATTGGCACAGAGGCAGCAACAATGGGGTCAGGACTGGGCAGTGTTTTGTTCTGTTCTGCACAGGGTCCCTATGAGTTGGAACCGACTCAATGGCACCTACCAACAACAAAGAACACCATGACCCCTGTGCTGGGGGGTCCTCACTCAGGGATAGGGCATTTTCTTTGCCTAGATGAGTGCGTGGCTGACAGTGGGTGGGAGGCTGCAGGTTCAGGTCATGAATGAGTCAGGGCGGCCCTTTTGCCCTGAGCCAGGGGAGAGACTGATGGGATGAGAAGAGGGAAAGTCTTTATGTTTGGACACCGACATGGAGATGAAACCAGCTGTGGATGACGGAGGGAAAAGTACACTCGATGGTACATAAACCTCCTCCCAACTCGCTAGAACGTTGAGAAAATGAACCCAATGAAACCAGGCAGCCACCCGAACGTGCAAACGTGCTTTAGGCTGCCTGGGACCGAGTGGATGTGTAGGGGCCCTGGGTGCACGGGCCAGCTGCTCTCGGGAGATGGGAGACAGCGTCCTCTTGGGGCGCTCTGAGAGGGGACCCGCCGACAGGGGGCACTGGTACCTGTAGTCACACCAGGGGCAGCTGTAGGGCTTCTCTCCCGTATGGACACGCTTGTGCCGAGTCAGGTGAGACTGCGTGGTGGAGGCAAAGCTACACTCCTCACAGCGGAAAGGCTTTTCTCCTGGAACAGAGTAAAACACGCTGCCCGTGAGCAATCAGTGCAACTGGACATGAGAGGTTTTCATAACATTTCAAAGACTGCAGTGCCACAAGCCATACAGACTTCAGACACGGAGACTTTCCTCTCCGAGCTGCAAAGGCAGGAGATACACTGCATTCTGCTTCAACACTGGAGAGAGGCGGGAGCAGGGCCGTGATATATTCTACAGTCCAAGCACCTCTCTCTCAACAGGAGAGTCTAAATGGTAGACCACCTGAGGATCGTGCCGGAACTCACTTCACAACTAGGCCACATCACAGATGAGAGAGAAACCGCAGTGAGTGTAAAATCATCAGAAAGCATCTAACAGAGAAATACTTGGACTATGCCAAACATTACAATCTTCAGGCTATCTATGTGAAGATAAAATCAAGACATAAAATGACACCACTTAGAAACTGTTGGAGGGAAGGAAATATGATAGTTCATTAAGCTGAATAAAAGAGACAGACCCTCAAGGAAACGTCTAAGTTGTATTTGATAGCACTTTGATGCTCCCAGACTCTGTATGGATGCAAAAGCTTTACAACAGGAAAAGGCAGTAGGGTTACACAGCATGAAAGAGACCACATAGGGGTCCAACCCTCTAGCTACCTGACCACCTTCTCCCTTCCCCCTCTTCCGACCCACACTTCCCAAAGAATCCCAAGTCATCCCGGAATCTTTTCTTCTAAATTCCACTAGCTGCATTAAGCTACTGAGCACTTGAAATATGGTTAGTTCACTTTATCACAAGTAAAAATAAATTTTAAAAAGTGATACTAGATTGAGATTTTAAAACCTGGTTTAAAATGTAAATTGTATTGACTATAACTATAGATGTCTTCCAGACGACAAATGAGCTTCTGTAGTTAGATACAGAAGAAGGGTAAAATCAGACCATATTTTGAAATCTGAGTAGAGAAAAGAGAGTGAACCATCACTTATAACTTACATGGATTTCACGCTGAAACGATGGTCCACCAAACCAAAACCCACAGCCACAGAGTCTGACTCAGCGAGTCTGTATAGGGTTACCTGGGGGTAATCCTCTACAGAAACAGAAAGTCTAATCCATCTCCCACAGTGCAGCCAGTGGGTTTGAACCGCCAACCCGAGGCTAACAGTCCAGTGTTCCTCCTCCAGCCCTACACCAGGATGTCTGGGACATTCAAAAACATACACATGGCTCACCTTCAATTTCTACTGGACAGCACTGGTCCGCAGCCAACCCCTCTGCTTTCCCCCGCCGACCCCGCCACCAGAATAACTCTTACACACTATTCTTTTCTGCCGACTGTTTTCTTGGTGAATTTTATGATGCAGTAGATTGACTATAAGCATGCTCAATAATTGTATTTGCTCTTGTTTCCCAAGGGGCCCTAGTGGTACAGTGGGTCAAGCATTGCGCTACTAATCAAAAGATCATTAGCTGAAACTCACCACACACTCGACGGGACAACGAGGAGGAGGCTGTCAGTTTCAGAAGCCCTAAGGAACATTTTTCCTCTCTCTGACAGGACGGTAGTGGATTACTTTCTATGCTTTTTTACTTTTAATTTTTATTGTGAAACCGAGTGAAAGTTTAGGAGCAGATCATCACCAAAATATATACTTTGCTTCATTACAAATGGCTACATCCCCTCCATGCACCAACAGTTTACAGCATCTACCTCTATTCACGTTAACACTGCATCCTCCACTACCTGCATATCTTTCCTCTGCCAACCTCCCCCTTGTATACTGCCTGCCCTGTGAATACATGTCCCTCCCCTTTGCCTTCCGCCTGTAAACATCATAGATGGTTTATCAAGAAAACCTTTTCTTTTTTTTTTTAATGTTTTATTGTGAATTATATGATAGTTTACATGGGAGAACTTTAGTTTTACATTCATTCCATCTTATATCATTTCACTGCCATGGTTCCAATCCCCTCCATGCATCATCAACCACCCAAAGGGTATATCCCAGACACCCGCCCCCTACACTTCCCCCTCCACCCCCCAGTTTTTGGCCCACAGTCCCTTTCCCTCTCTGGGATCAAGGTCCCCAGTCACTTCATCACTCCACATCATCATCTGTCTCTATCTCAGGCGTCTCTGTTTCTCTGGGTAGGGTCCCGCTCTCCGCTCTTCTCCATCCCAGAGGCCTCCGCTCCTATCCTGGAGAATTAATTACTCCCTTCCTTGTTACAAAACTTCCACCTTTGCATTTCCAACCCTCACAATCCATCCTGATAAGCATTATTCACTACAGTATCACGAGTTACCCATCTGTATCTCCTTTCATCAGCTCCGCCCAGACAGATTGAATAGTACCCTACTGGAGATTCTGCCTTCCGCCATGCTCCCTAGCATCAGGTTCCCTCTTGAAAGCTTGTAAGCCAGTCACTTCTTGCCTTTGTAGTCCCGCCCTCCCCATTTGAGTATCCAATGTCCAAGCTGCCCTTCTCCGTCCACTCTGTGTGTGGGTGTGTGTGTGAATGTTTGTTGCTGTGAGGATTTGTTCCCTCTTTTGAGTCGCTGCTCCATAGGTATAGGTCAAGTTCTTCAGACTGTCTCAGCTCACTCTTTTTTTTCTCGCCCTCTTCTTTCTTCTCCTGGTTGAGCTCCGATCATCCAGTCATCCGGTCCAGGTCACGTGGGTATCATCTGCAAGTGTAGGCACTCCTGTGTATATGTCCTCGAGTCCTCCATGGCCATGCCACTGACTCTAGGCCCAAGAGTCCCCAGGCCTCTTCACACTGTTTGCCAACCAGGTCCCCAAATAGGTCCACAGAAGTCCAGTGAACAATGTAGGGCTTAGCTTGCTGCTTCATAAATGTGGTTCTGGTTTCTATCTATAGTTTTATGTATTGCAAAGGTTCCGCAAGAAGCCTCGTTCACTGGGTACTCTGTAGCCCTATTTTAGGTATTCCAATCAGTCATAGGTGGAAGACGGATTTACAAGCCTTCTAGTGTGGTGTTTCTGACTATTCCTTTCTCTCCCTCTCCAGTGTCTACTCTATAATATAATGCGAGGGAAACCAAGATTTAAACAAACAAACAAAAACACTCAAGCATCTTAACACGATTCTCCACCCCCCCCCACCCAATTTCCAACCATGATTCAATCCCTGTATCTCAGAGATCTACTGTTCCAAGGCTGTGAATATATTGTCCTTTATCTCTCCCATTTAGCCCTTTCAAACATGCCCAATTGTTCTCCCATCTGCCCTGTTTCTCCACTTCCCTCTCCCACCCTGTATATTGCCCCTTTCCCTAGCACCAAAGCTCTCCTGTGTCCAATCCCCGCCCTGCGCCCTGCGCTCGGCCCTCCCCCCAACCCCCCACCCATCACCAACTTCCCAACAACCAACAAAGACTTCCCCCTACCCCCCTTTAGTATAATTTCTTTTTCTTAAGTTTTTTACAGTAGTGGTCCCAGGCAGTATTTCTCTTTTTGTGACTGACTAATTTCACTCAGCATAATGTCCTCAAGGTTCATCCATATTATGCGGTGGCTTACCGCTTCCTTGTCATTCTTCAATGTAGCATAATATTCCATTGTGTGTATGTACCACAATTTGTTTATCCATTCTTCAGTTGATGGGCACTTTGGCTGTCTCCATCTTT